AAATGGTTTTAATTGTGTACCAGTTTAATGTTGAATATTATTTATGATTTTTTTTACGTTTCTCATATTTCATTATGAGACTCCCACTCGTATCTGTTGTCGGGTAGAGCGAGAATCCACAAGATAGAACAAAAAAATTCATCTGCTTTCCTTTTTCTAAGATTAAATCAAATATATGGATAATGTAAATATTTACTTACAGTAGTCCAACTCCTTTACCTACAGCAGAATATACGCCTTCTTCTCCGTTTTTTATTTCCCACCTAACACAACTGGATCCGATATCGGAAAATTCGAAACTCTTTTCGATTTCATACCATTTCCCGGAAAACTAGAATATACCGTTATATTTCACTTTTGAAAAAGCATTTCAGAGATAAAAAAAATCAATTTTATGCATACTAACGGATAATTCATGCTCCATGTAACCCATCCAATAGTTTCAAGTATTGTCTTTCAAAACCACTATCCGTATTATTAAAAATACATATTTTTTCTTATAAATACATTCTTAGTCACTCAGTAAGAACGTTAAAATGGTGTCAGCTCTATAAATATTCTGTAGAATGTTGAATTAAAAGAATTCCACATTTACTAACTCTTTGTTATACTTTAACGCAAGGGTTCTCTAAACAATTTCAATCCGGGTCCTCATTTTGTGGGTGTGAAAATCTTAAGTCTCCTTTTTGTCAAGTAATTTAAAATCAGGAGAGAATAAAGATCATTCTAGAACAAAAATTTTAGTATAGTATTACAGTATATTTTAAACCTATGTTAGTATAGTATTACAGTATATTTTTAAACTTATATTAGTATAGTATTACAGTTTATTTTTAACCTATATTAGTATAGTATTACAGTTTATTTTTAAACCTATATTAGTATAGTATTACAGTATATTTTTAAACTATATTAGTATAATATTACAGCATATTTTTAAACCTATATTAGTATAGTATTACAGTATATTTTTAACCTATATTAGTATAGTATTACAGTATATTTTTAACCTATATTAGTATAGTATTACAGTATATTTTTAACCTATATTAGTATAGTATTACAGTATATTTTTTAACCTATATTAGTATAGTATTACAGTATATTTTTAAACCTATATTAGTATAGTATTACAGTTTATTTTTAAACCTATATTAGTATAGTATTACAGTATATTTTTAACTTATATTAGTATAGTATTACAGTATATTTTTAACCTATGTTTAAAACACTCAGTATATAACATGAAATGTCTTCCTTGCACTGTAACTGGACAATGAAGATGAGAAAAGGAAGCTATTATCATTTAATATGTTAGTATTTTTAAAATAACCCTCAAAGAAAATGAGTTGCATCCTTAAAATTATTTCACGACCATTCGGGGGAGGGAGGATACATTCTCTCAAGCTTACAGTGCTGGCCCACCAGGAGACTCTCAAGTGTAAAGGGTGTATTCTTAATTAATTTATTATTCAAATTGGATGCCATTAACAACAATACACATTGGTATACTGTGCCATCAGGGTATTTTCTTTCCTCAAATATGAACAACTGACATAAGAAATGTGTTTTTTAACTTTAAGAATATAATGTATATTTTCCCTATGGGTACAAACTTCTGAGACACCCTGTACAGGTGAACTTATAAGTAATTAATCAAGAAATATTCGATCATGAGCAACGTGCAAAAACTGAAACTGGACAATACGTACTTAGTTAGCTCGTTTACATTTAGGAATACTGGCTAGACACCTTTGATAACTATAATTATTTAACAAAACATATTAAGTATTATGGATAAAATATTGTTTCATCTGACAATACATTGTAGAAATATGTTCGTCAATTTTAACATCGCCAAATTTTGGAAGTTTATGTAATGTAGACATTTGTTATTACCCTTTTCTCCTAATTTAATAATTCGCTTTGTTAAATAGGACATGTCAGGATGTATAACCTTTTCACGATTTCTCTTTGTAGGTTATTTTACAAAAAAAAAGAAAAAAGTTATAATAATAAGATGATCCGAGTACCAGGGGGCAAATTTTCTTCACTTTACTTTAATTAATTATCTTATACTTTACTGTAATAAATCCATGACAAAAGATGATTTTGATTTTTAAAAAATCCTAGAACTTTTCACACTTTAATAACTATTTCATTTCTTTTGAACTTTCGGTTTCGCTGTTGGAGTCTTCATTAACACTTGTCCGATAAATGGACATGCGATGAGACTGAAAACTCGCAGAAATAATTACTTAGATGAAAATAACTAAAAACTCGCAGAAATAATTACTTAGATAAAAATAACTAAAAACTCGCAGAAATAATTACTTAGATAAAAATAACTAAAAACTCGCAGAAATAATTACTTAGATAAAAATAACTAAACACTCGCAGAAATAATTACTTAGATAAAAATAACTAAAAACTCGCAGAAATAATTACTTAAATAAAAAAATAAGATTCCAGTGCTCCTCTCTTTTTTTTTCTTTTTTTTTCCGTATAAAACGAAAATCCTGAAACTGTATGTGTCTATCTCTGAAACAGAGTTTAAAAAGTGATTTTTACCAATTGAAAACATCGACTTCTTACACCAAAAATGCGTTCGAGCGCTTTCGAAAGGCGGACCTTTCATCTTCAGGAGCAAACTTTCGAAAGCGCTCGGGTCATATAGTTTCTATTCATTTCTATCAAGACTTCTTAAACCTAAATATTTTTCTAACATCATTAATGTACCAAAAATGTTAATATAGTCTTATATATGAAACCACAATTATCTTGTCTTTCTTTTTCAAATTCAGAGACAATGTACGTTATTTACCTTTCTACTAACACGCTCTGTGATCTACCTTCAGATATTAAACTTTATATGCTACCGTTGTTTTGTACGACACCTTCAGTAAGCAATCAGTATGAAGCCACTTATCTTTTTTTTTCTTTTTTTTACCTTATAAGCACCTGTGAGCCTCCGTACTAAACTTTGTAGGGAATATACTTTATAATGCTTTGAGAAATTGCTTAATTACTTAATTTTTGCCTTAATTTTTAATAATATTAAAATGCTAATAGCACAACTATATGCCACACTATATGGCCATGTTGTTAAATTATAATATTTTGAAAATAAGTGGTTTCATTTCACAGAAGTTTTGAACTCAGCTCATTGAATGTTACGTAATGCACTTAACAACAAAATATGTTATAACATATAGTAATTTACAATTTGCACATTAGTTTCTAATTATGCTGCTACATCATAGGTAAAACGTGTGTAGAGTAATTACATCATAGAAACTCTCAAAATTTTTCTAGTCGCTTATACATTATATAGAAAAATAATTTAATAATGAGACGATGTGTTGATTTCAAACCGTAATATATATATGTAGATTCCGCCCAAGTGTGTGTATGTTTTTTTTTTGTTAATACTTCACATGTGTATATATTATACAAGTTGAGAATGTTTTGTTGAAAGTAAAATATATAATAAAAACGTTGTCATTGGATATCAAAGTTCATGCTTGAATATTTGAATAGCTGATTGAAAATAGCGTTCTAAAACAGTATTACCGTGAAAACTTTAACTTGCATCTAATTCAAATATTCTCTAAAATCACATCAAATTCTAAAGTGGTTAATAGAAATATTTTCTCTACCTTTGCGCTGTCAAACTTCTGCATCACCAGGTGCTTACTACTACATCCGGACTGGCCACTGGTCACGTCCAGGCGAAATAAAAAGAGAAAAAGAATGGTCGTGAGAAGCATCATGGTTACAAAATTGGTCGTAGAAACACAACACCAGAGCACAGTATGGTGTGCGAGTTCTAGGACGAACCCACTTTTTATACGTCAAAACCAACAACAGAAGGCGGAAGGAAAGTATCCTGTTTCTTTTTTTTTCTTTCTAAACGTTCTACAGGCCAGTAGGCATCACGAAAACCAATCTTATAGATAACCGATGGTTTTTTAACTGCTATGTGGCAGCAGGGTTCCGTGCAACAATATCTAACCATCCAATGCAACATCACACAATAACTTATTTCTATCTTCGCGGAAATTTAACCTGACCTTGAAGTAGGTCGAGGTAACGGCAGCTTACCTAACCTTATCACATATTGCAGAACACAGGCTGGGAGGCTGGATGATCGTGTGTCGTATGCTAACGAGGTTCTTCAACACGAGTGACGTTTATAAAAACAGTAATAGCCTCCCAATTACAGATAAATCACTCTCTTTTATATAACATTGGAATACACTTAGTAACAAGACTCCAGTGACTTTTATCAATATTTATTCTTATTATTTTAATTCTACTAGATGGCAAAATATTTTATACTATTTTGTCTACAACTTATGTACAATATGTTTTTAGACCTGTATTTGGCTGCGAAATAAGAAAATAAATATATTTTACAAAAGATTAAAGCGCTATCAGAAAGTGCGTTAGCACTCTCTATGTAGGGATGGCACGAACGCCTGTATTAAAGCAACACAAACGTCATCTGGATTTTCTTCTCTACAGGTCATAAGAAGCTAAATATAATTGCCTGGCATAGTCGCTCTATCTTCGGTGTATATGCCACTTTCTTATTTTCGTTCATCACCATCTTTCTTCAACAAAACTAGCGCATACCTAGTTCTAGCAGTAACTAAACTTTTATCACCATTTGATAGAGTAAAACAATCTTCACGATCTTTGACTACCTATTTCTATCATTATTCTATGTAAAATTTATAAAGCTTTAGCCTAGTAACCCACGTACACCATCTTATAAAAACGTAAACAAACAAGTATTAAGAAAAAATTATCGCTAAATAAAAATGTCATGCAAAGCTGGCTACTGAACTTGAAAAAAAAAGGGAACAAAACAAAAAATGGATGGAAGTGGACATATCACTTGGTCCGGCTAATGATCACAGTGCAGACTAAGCCGTATCCCTACATTACTAGCTTCCTCACTGGCAAAACAAATAGAACCAGAATTTCCAATCGTAAAATTCTACTTTATTGTAAAGTAGTCATAAATGTAATATATAAAGGAAAGGTATGATGATGAAAGCTGAGATTCTATTCAAATACCAAGCTTTCAATAGACAATGTGTGGAAGCCAGTAATGTAGGGATTTTGTTTTCTATGTTAAGTCGAAACAGCTTAGTCTGCTATGCCATCATTAGCCGATCAAGTGATATGTCCACTACCATCCCCATCTTGTTTGGTTCCCTTTTTTCGAGTTCAGTAACCAGACCAACATAGCATTTTTATTTAGCAAGAATTTTTTCCTAATACTTTTTATTTTATCAGTAAGAAATCATTCTAGCAAGACATTTGTCACTAGAATAAATGACTATTAACATATTTATTGATAAAATAAATTAATAGTAGGTTTTAAATAAAACTAAAACACTAAAATTAAAATATCAGTCAATTAATGATATTGTTACGTCTCTGGTCGTTAGTTAATTAGTCATAAAAATTCTTTCCGAAGAACTTTAGCGATACAAGTCCTTTCTCAAATAAAACTAGTTTATTCTTTCTCAATCCAACTTTGCAATACACTTAATTTCCACAGTCCCTTTAACTTAAACCTACACGCTATAATTCTCAACGAA